GGGGGGAAGGTCCCTAAAAAAAAAAAAAAAAAAATGTGTCGCAGGCTTCCACCATATGCAAAAACAGCCTAAAATTTCATTCTACTCTTCTTAATTAACAAAGCTAATTAAAGCCCGTACAAAAACTAAAAGCAAAAGAAGGGTTAGAAAGTAAAAGGGATAAAATGTAAGTACCGAAAAATTCCATTACATTTTTGCTATCGAGCCACTAAATCAAACCTTCCTTTTCTTCCCACTTGCAAATGTGCATAGCCTTTTCCGAATTACAGGAGTACATCAATCACATTTCCTTAATTTCTTTCCTTCTACTAAGCCGCGATCGCACAAATCATGCGATCTTCTCTAGGACCACCTTCCCGAACCTCACGGATTCCTTTTTCTCCCGCCTACTTGTCTCCTTCCCAAATTGTTCAATCTCACCGCCTCAAAAAGCCTATAAATCTGAGGTCGAATGGTTGAGATTTCACCTCGCCTCGCTCGCCTCCTAAAGTTGTTGATCCCGTGTAGCATTTCCTTTCTCACCCTTTCCCCGTCTCCTTGACCTAGCCGAAGGGCAGAGGATCAAAACACACACACACACACAACACACACACACACACACACATATATATATAATTAAAAATAAAGTAGGATACAGATAGATTGTGTAGGAGGCCCAAACATGGCACCCTGCCCCACTCGATACCACCATATGCAAATGGTTCCGAGAAAATACGAAAAAAATACATGAGAGACCTAAAGAAAAAAAAACAAAAAGTGTCAAAATCTGGATTATCAGGTAACTAAAGAGCGACTCAATTTTGTCTTGCCTCTGTCTCTAGTTCTAGGGAAGGAGCCAGCTAATAAATTGGTGAGATGAGTGTCATTGTCAGTAGTAACCAATGTATCATCCAATAAATTCTCGAGCTCGAGTCTGCCTCCATTCCTCTTCTTCCTCCTGGAATAGACTTGTCATTCCTTATCCGAAGATTGACTCGTCTGGTTAGTGGATTGGTCTAAAGTGTGTCGAGCATGTGTAGGTTGTTGTACATTAGAAGCAACTATTTGTTGTACAAGCTGTTCTTTAATAAGATGGGGGGAGCGGAAGCATTCTCGTGTGTCCTGGCATGTAAGTGGGTTTTCTTCAAAAACAGTGAGTGATATAAACACATTTGAATCTGTACCTGTAGTATGATGTTCTTCATCAGAAACCACAGTGTTGGCAAGGGGGGATCCGTAAGAAAATCCTGACTTGTGGGAACTTCCTCCACAGATTGAGCAGATGTGTCCATAGCAATGGGGTTAGACCCCTCTGTGTTTGCTTGAGCTTTAGCTTTCCAGTTTGAATGAAGCCTGTGACATTTATCAAGTATATGCCCAAACATCTTACAGTTGGTACAATAAAAATGTTTATGTTCCATGACAATTGGTTGTCAACATCCATTGTGAGTTGTGTCCAGCCATACTTCAGTAATATCATGTAAGATAATATCTCTTTCCACAAGTATTCTGGCCACAGAAGATCTGGTTAGTTTAAAAGTTGGCATATTTAGCTTCATATGATCTCCAAGAATGGCTCCAATAGAATAAAGAACCTAATGATTAAAGAAATGCAACTTGAAACCTGGTAAACTAATCCATACAGGAACAATATGAGACTTATGATTTGGGTCAAAATTAGGAGACCACTTGAGTAACTTCATTGACTTATCTGCAATGTTAATATAATTTTTTAGAGACATTTGAGTGTAGTCTTTAGCCAGGTTAATTGAATCAACACATCTCTCTCAGCCATGAGCCTCACTTTTCATTTTCCTGTTAGTTTGAGACTCTTTCTGATAACTTGCATAGGTGGGTGACCTCACTGAAATTTTCTAATAAGAGAAAATTTGAATTTTTTGGTTATGGTTGAAATTTCTGAATCAGAGAAAAATAGTGTTGTTTTCCCACTTTCTTGTTTATCTTCTTAAGAAAAGTGCAATCGCTCGTACCATCACACATTCCTTGTAGCTTGAGGGGAAAACAATAGTAGATTTCGCAAGATGATTACCCACCACGTGAGTGAAAGAGGCTTTGTCAGGATCAAGAGAAGAAGAAGGAAACACCATAACGATAATCCTTCGGCCATCAGAACCCGACGAGAAACAGATCCTTCAGCCCGCAGATGCAAAAGCCAAAGAAACCCGACGCGCGTCAGTTCGTCGAACCCGCAGAGAAACAAGCGCAGGACGGAAGAAAGGCGTGTACTGGTCGAAAACAGAAACGCAAGCAGCACGGGCGTAGCTCAATCGGCCCTACAGCGACCACGATGCAGGCGCAGCATGATCATGATCGGCTCTACAGCACAGGCGTAGCATGATTACGATCCCGATCGACCCTACAGCTCGACGAAACAGACGACATAACAGAGGAGGCTCCCCTTCTTCTACGAGCGTGGAATACAGGTAGCAGAGGCTAGGGTTTCGCCTCACAGCAAAACCCTAGCAGAGCTTCGACGAAGGAGAGCGAAACCCTAGCAGAGCTTCGATGAAGGAGACGACTCCGACCATACTGTATATATTAATCTTGTGTATTTCTTTAGCATAACCCATTTGTGTAATTTTGATAAACACTTTTGTCTTTTTATTCTCTAAAATGTGTCCTGACTTTCATTATTCCCAAAATAATTCAGAACAGTTACATTTTTACACAATATGAAACTATGAAGACTTTTACCAAATTTTCCTTTTTTTTCATTCTTCTCATTTCTCTTAACCTTGTCATAGTTATGATCAACATTTCAATGTCTTCGAAATATAATGCATTGTTATTAATCAAATAACTAATTTTCGCAAATCAAAATCATAACCATAGCAAATGACAGCAAACCAAATAGCATAGAAATCACAATTTTACCTTGAAAAGGAGATTGCAGAGTTGATATCCTTTGCAAAAAGGAAGAGTTCCTTTGCCTGCTCCAATCGTAAGATAGCGAACCATAAAACTCTTCCATGCCCACCACGCCTTCTCTAAGATAGTAGCTTCCTTGCAGAGTCCAAAGCGCCCAGTCTACATCAAGTTCAGCCGCCAAGCCAAGAAAGCAACCAAAGTAGCGGTTGTCATTGGTGTTTGTGCCTCGTTGATCAATTCCGAACTCACTTATGAAGAGGGGCCAGCCCTGGCTCACTAGGAATCCCGCCCTTCTCATGACGCTAGATGAAATGGAGCCACAGACTTGGTTTGGGCTGCCACTTTGCCAAGCATTTCCATTAGAGAAGGCATACCAATGCAGCTCAAATACAAGCTTTGAAGGAAAGCTTAGCTGAACCTGCTTATTTGAAAGGAAGCTCAGATCATTGTCGAAACTTAGGCCGGAAAGTATAACAAGGACGTTTGGATTAGCGGCATGCACTGCCTCTGCACCTCTTTGCATGTATCTGGATTATTCATCTCAAGAATTAGTCAGGTTTTAACATAACAGTAGATACTGAGTGCTTGTGAGACAAAGTCAGTTCATATAAGAGCTATGTGTTGGGAAATTTTATATGTGAACCCATATATAATAATTATAATGTTAGAATAATTAGAAATAGAATAATTAGAATAATGTTAGAATAATTAGAAAATAATTTATTCCTGTTAGAAGTTATGAGGATTAGATTTATATTATTGGATTTGATTTATTTTCTTTCCTATATTAGATTTATTTCCTTTCTTATTTTAGATTTTCCTATTTTTTGTAGTTTCATTTATTTCCATGTAATTATTAAGAATTGATTAATTGGAGATATATATATTATATCTTTCATTTCATGTTTTTTTTTTTTTTATCTTTCATATTCTAGGATCTGCCCCTTGGAAGGGAAAGAA